TACTACTACTACTACTACTACTACTACTACACACTACTACTACTACTACTACTAATACTACTTACTACTACTACTACTACTACTACTACTACATCTACTACAATTACTACTACTACTACTACCACTACTACTGTTCCCAATACTACTATTACTACTTCTACGACATCTACTATGACTACTACTTTTACTACTAGTACTACTACTACTACTACTACTACTACTACTACTACTACTACTACCACTGCTACTACTACCACCACCACTGCGACTACGATTACTACTACTACTACTCCTACTACTACTCCTCCTCTACTCCTACCTACTACTACTACTACTACTACGACTACTACTACTACTACTACTACTACTACTACTACACTACTACTACTACTACTACTACTACTACTACTACTAGTACTACTACTACTACTACTACTACTACTACTACTACTACTACTACTACTACTACTACTACTACTACTACTACTACTACTACTACTACTACTACTACTACTACTACAACTACGACTACGACTACTACTACTACTACTACTACTACTACGACTACTACTACTACTACGACTACTACTACTACTACTACTACTACTACTACTACTATTAGTACTAGTACTAGTTGTACTGCTACTACTACTACTACTCCTACTACTATTACTACTACTACTGCTGCTACTACTACTACCACTACTATTCCTACTACTACTACGACGACTACTACTACTATTCCTATTACTATTATTATTACTACTACTACTGCTACCACCACCACCACCACTACTACTATCCTCGCTCCTATCCTTCTCCTCTTCCCCTTCTTCTTCTCCTCCTCCCAGACTCCTTCTGCTATTACTCTCCTCGCTTCTATCCTTCTCATCCTTCTTCTCCTCCCCTTCTCCTCCTTCTCCTCCTCCCCTCCTCCTCCTCGTCTTCCACCTTCTCCTCCTCCTCCTCTTCTTCTTTATCAACCCCCTTGTCCTGCTCCCCGAGGGAGGAGCAGCCGGCCGCGCAGGCGCGGGCGACTCATGCAGACTCGCACCTCATGATCCTGTTCGATTCCGGCGACGCGTTTCCATCGGTGGAGTTCGATTGGTTGTTCAAGACTCTCTCACAGGCCGGGCTGGATGATGGAGTCTGTGTTCTGGTTGAGACGCTCTATTGGTTGCCGACGGCATTCATTCAGGCTGCAGGTGGCGCTCACCATTTCCTGTGCATCGCGTGTGGTCTGGCGCAGGGTTGCCCCGCGAGCGGCGCGTTGTGGGCGCCGGCGATGAACCCGTTCGTTCTCGCCACGCAGTCTTAGCTTCGAGGCCATGTGTTTTCCGCCGTTGGCGTTTGCGCCGACGATGTGGGAGTGGTCTTGCACGGTCGCGCGCTGTTGGAGGGCACGTGGCGCATGCTTCGAGCCGCGGAGGGCCTGGCGGACTTGCGGCCGAGGTTCCACCACTGTGTCACCATCCCGTTGGAGGGCCAGTCTTCGCAGGAGATCGAACTGGAGTTTCGCGGGTGGCTTCGTCGTGCGATCCCGTCCTGGGGGAGCACGACGATTGCTCCACGCGGCGAATCTTTCGGGGTGCTGTTGGGCCCCTCAGTGACGCAAGGCGCGCCATGGAGCAACGCTGCTGCGAAGTGGTCCTTGAGAGCGCCGGAGCTGGCAAAGTCGGGAGCGCCAGCGCACCTCGCCACCAGCCCATGCAACCTTCGTTTGCTGCCTGTTTTGTCGTATTTGCAGCAGCTGCACCCTGCGCCACTGGCTCTTCGCTCTCGTGAAGCTTTGTCGATTGACAAAATATGGCATCTTCCTCCTAAGGCTATGGCGCGGTCAGACTTCCACTCACTGGCCGGTCTCAACTACGGCTCGCGTCTATGCTGGCGCGTGGCACGGCGACTCACGCGCGAGTTGGAGGAAACTCCTGGCGTGGTTGCAGGATCAGAGCCAGTCTCACGGCTCCCTGGCAGAAATTGGGAAAAGGCACGCTGTCCCCGTCATTCTGGCAGGGTCGCCCAATCATCGCGCACCTTGACGCCGCGGACCGCAACTTCAGCCCCAAGAGTCAGCATGCTATGCATGTTGGGGTTTCGTCTCTGCATCGACATGCGGAGCTGGCTCGTGAAAACGTGAAAGAGGCTTGCGTCATTGCCGCTGCCCTGTCACCCCAAATTAAGGCCCAGCGTATCCTCACCTCCTCGCCCCGAGCCTCCCTCATCCCGACTTGTTCCACCGCGCTCTTGAGAAGAGGCTGAAGTCTTGGGCTGTTCCCCACCCGAGAGACTCCTGGCCCCCGCTGAAAGCCCTCCTAGAGCCCCTCGCTCCGTCTTCGCAGTCGGCTGCGATGGAGGACAAATTCTGCGGGTGGCTCACATCCGCTCGCCTTCATACTCCAGGTGGCGTCAGCAATTGTCTTTTTGGTTGTTGTGGCGACGGCCAGGATGACACATTTCGGCGCCATGTAAGGTGCTCGTCGCTGTGGCCCCTGGTTTTCGGAGCAGATCCGCCATCTGACTTAGCAGCGAGGCTTGGTCTCGACGGAGCCCCCAACAATTTGCAAGTTGAGGCCATCGCCATGGCTTCTCATTGTTACAATGTGCGTCGAATGTCTGGCCCCTGCCCCGAAGAGGTAGGACTGCCGGCATATCGCTGCCAAATTCGTCGAGCAGGTAAGGCTCTCGCCGACCCGGCCGTGCGCCCGAGGCCCTCTGAGGACCCTCTGGCGCCCCTTGGCACGAGCGGTGTGTGTGTATATATGTATATATGTATAACAAGATTGCTTTGGTCGGGGTTGCTCACGGTCTCCGGACCCTATTCCGGAGGCAATTTCAGTGGAGATTCTCCCCTTGCACGCCGTGCCTTTACGTGCACATATTGCCGCTCCTGTTGGGAAGGTTCTCGACGTCGGCACCGCCACCTTCTTCTGGGCACGCGCAGTGCGGATACACCCTACTCGGTTGCTTGGTCTTGTGAGGGCTGTATCAGGGTTGGTTGGGAAGGCCGCTGGAGCGCTTTTTTTCCTTTTACCGTACGTAGGCCCAGTGCTAAGATTCTACATGCCCACCGCCTGGGGCACCTATTTTCCAGGACCCCAGGAGGCGGTGGATATGGATATCGTTGCCCGCCTAGGGACCACATGTTCGGATGCAACTCCTGGGAGGTCAAATTCTGATCTTGCCCTGGTCCGAAATCCGGCTTAATCCCGCCTAATCCCGCTTAATCTGGCTTAATCCCGCTTAATCCGGTTTAATCCCGCTTACTCCGAGGCCCATTCCGGCGTAATAGCCCCCAAATGGGGCTTGATCCTCCTCAATCTTTCCGACGAAAACCTCCCAGCAGTTGCCTCCTAACACGTGGATGACGGAAAGAAAACGGGGGCGTTTGCGACGACACTGGCGCGCACGCCGCCCGCGTAAGATCGTGCGTCAGCGCCCTCGTCTCCATCGTGGCGCGCCGTGGTGGCATGCGTGAGGCAGCGCGCACGGTCGCTGTGCTCTGTGCGTGTGCAGCTGCGCGCTTGTTGTGCAGGTTCGGATGCAACTCCTGGGAGGTCGAATTCTGATTCTGCCCTGGTCCGAAATCCAGCTTAATCCAGCTTAATCCTGCTTAATCCGGCTCAATCCCGCTTAATTCCGCTCCATCCGGCTTAATCCCGCCTAATCCGAGGCCCACTCCGGCGCAACAGCCCCCCAATGGGGCGCAATCCTCCTTAATCCTTCCAACGAAGACCTCCCAGTAGTTGCCTCCTAATGCAGGTGCGACCCGTCTTGCCAACGTGGCGGTTGTGTTCGCAAATTCGCATCGTGCCGCCTGCCCCGGACTTTGCCCCTCGCCGCCAGACCGTTGTCGCGCGGCCGCAGACCAAAAAAGTACGTCGCTGTGGCATCTCGCGTAGGACCCCTTTGTTTTCGTCGCTTAAATGCATCCATATCCACCGATTCCCGGGGTCCTGGGGCATCGTCCCCTTGGCGGTGGATGTGCACAAGGCTCCGCCTCGCGGCAGAGCCTGCGACTTCCGTGGGCCTTACGGAGGCCTCGCCGCGACCTCTTCCGGAAGCCGGCCGCCAGGAGGATTCCCCGTGTTTGCGTTGGTTTTGCGGCATGCAGACATTTGTATTACAATGTGGGCAGGTTCTGCGAATTCTTTCGCGGAGAATCATTTCATCTGGTCGACGTAATGCTATTACGCCTGGTTGGTGCATTTATTGCGAGTGGGCACGAGACCCATGCCGTGTTCTACGGCATTGCAAAACATTGACCCACTCGCATCCTGTCCTCTGTTTGTTGTTGCTCCGCCATCCCCCAGGCAGCGCCTGCGGTGCCGAGGGCCACCCTGCAGCTGAGGGTATGCCTGCCGCGCCTCCTGTGCACAGGGCGCCGCAGGTGGCGACATCGGCCGTGTTGGTGCGGGGGCGGCTTCTTCTGGGTCGCGCGCAGAACGGGGTAAGGGGAGGGGGGTAGGCTTCTTAGATGCACCCAGATGTAGGGCCAGCGCCTTCTGAGAAGCAGCCTGCTTCTAAGAAACCTTCCCCCACCCTACCCCCTTGTGCGCGCCGCCGATATTGCTGCCTCCCCGCGATCCTCTTGCTGCTGCCTCTCTTCCTTCCCTCTCGACCCTGGCCTCTCGAGTCGGCGCCATCTGTCGCTTTGGATTGGGGACTGCCGTGAACGCTTCTGCTCAGGTACATCGCCAGGTTTAGGACAAGGGGGGTCAGGCAAGAGGTGCAATCTGTGGGTGGTCTTGCCGCCTGGAACGCTCCAGTGGCCAAGTAGGCGCCGATCTTCGGGTCGGCAGCCCGCCGATGGCCACCGCGCGCGCGTCATTCAGTGCACACTCCCGACAGGTGGCCTGACGTGTGACGACGCGGCTCGAACGCGCGTTTTCAGCCCGGTGGGCAAGCCGGTTCACCCCAGGCCGCCAGGCCGATGCATCGGCGGCGCGGCGACGACTTGGAGCCCAATCTTTTCCACCCTGGCACTCCCGATCTGGAGCACGATTCTTACCGGTCGTGTCGACTCCTCCGCCTCGATTCGATTCGGTTTTGGTCGACTCTGGTTCCGATTCGATTCGACTTCGGATTCCGATGTTGGATTCTGGTTTCTCAAAGGAGGCCTGATTCGCCTGCCGATTTCCGCCAATCCGATTTCTCCCGGCTTGGCTGTCGATTCGCGCCGATCCGATTCATCTCAATTAACGATCCGACTCATAGACTCGGTGCCGCCTCGCCAGAGCATCGCCGACGCGTCGTCGGCGATGCGTCGAGTAGGAGATCGACCACAGAACTGATTTACCCCAGAATTGATTTTCCCGTCGAGCCTACGGTAATAACATGCAGAATGCTCCGTAGATGCACGGAGCACCATGCGTTTTGTTTTTGTAGATTCGACGAAACCGCCAGTTTGGGGGCAAACCAATTCTAGACGCTTCGGGTAACCCCACCAGCTCGTTTGCAGGATCAGTACTCCCCTCAGGGGACTTGGTGTGCGACTTTGGTGGCGCCACCCGATGCACCAGGTTTGGGCCAGCTTGGGCACCCATGGCAGTCGTCGCAGCGTACTGGCTGCCTCCCTGGTCACATCCTGGTACGTCCCTCGCGCCATTTTGGCTGCGTTCCAACCCTAGTTGGCTACTCCTGCATGTGCGCGCCCCTGGACCTGGTCCCTGGCAGCTGCAGCTTGCATCCCCCCTTTCGCCGGCCCGCCCGCCGAGGCGCTGCTGAGGTTGCCGGCCCGTCTGCGTTAGGCAGTTCGGCTCTCTTCTGGCGCCCGGTGGCGACAAGGATTCATTCCCGTGCCTGGCGATCTCGCTCCCATGGTACTCGCACGTTGCAACTTCCCAGCCGCTTCCGCAGCTGGCAGCTTCCACCCCGCGGCGCAGCCCAGCCCCGGCACAGCTTCCCTCGGCGGTAGGTTTAGTCTGCTTGCTCGGCGCGCGCGCGCGCTGGCAAGTAGGGTGCTCGCGGCCCGTGCTACTCTACTGACGCTGTCGGCGCGCTCGCCTGCAGCTGCGATTTATAAGTAACCCCACCAGCCCTGCTCGCTGTAGGCTTGGTTTTCGTGCGACTCCACGACGCCGCGCGGCTGTCCGCTTGCGGTTGCGAACATAAAAGTACCCCCACCAGCCCATCCAGAAATGATGCCCACAGGAAGTGCCTCGATCAGGGAAGTGGGCAGCACACAGAGGAAGGGTCCCCCAGTGGAGGCCTCTTAGAGCGTTTTGAGGGCCTCTTGGAGGCCCCGGGCGCCTCTTAAAGCGTCTCGGGTGCCTCGGAGAGCTTCTTGGGGCCTCTTGGGGGCCTCGTGGGGGCCTCTTCGAAGCGTCAGGGGCGCCTGTTGGGGCCTCCTGGGCGCCTCTTGGGGCCCTCTTGAAGCGCTCTCGAGAGCCTTGGGAGCGCTCTTGGAGCCCTCTCGGGCCATCTTGGAATCATTTTGAAGCTTCGGATGGCCATCGGGAGCGAAGAGGCGAGAGAACCCAAAGTATTGGATGTCCTTTAGGTATTGGAAGGATTTTGGTCTCTTCGGGGCCTCCTGGGGGATCTTTTGGCGACTTGTGGCCGTGCTGAAGCGGTCTTGGGGCCTCTTGGAACATCGTGGGCGCCATCTTGAGGCATCTTGGAATATCTTGAGCCATGTTGGAGGTCATCTTGGGCTCTCCCAGGCGCTCTTGAAGTCAGCTGAAGCAGTGCCCCCCCAGGAGGCCCAAATGTAACCAACATCTTTTTGTAAAATCGATGATTTTGGCATTCTCGCCGAGGCCTCTTGGAGCGTCTTGGGTGCTTCTGGGGGCTCTCTTGGGGCCTCGTGGGGGTCTCTTGGGAGCCTCTTGGGGGCATCCTGGGGCCTCTTGGGGGCGTCTTGGTGTGTGTGTGTGTGCGCGCCGCCCACTGCGTGCCTCGCCGTCGTGCCCACATCTTCTGCACGCGCGACCCTTTTTCGGTCGCCCCCCCATCTGCACACGGTCGGCGGTAATCTGCTTAGTGGCCTGCATCTCTGCTTCGCTGCATCTTCGGAGGACCTCGCCTGTCCCCAGGAGTGGTGCCTTCTCTTGTGCCCGACGCGGGCTCGATGCGGACTCGACGCGGATTTGGCGCGGGCTCGACGCGGATTCGACACGGATCCGACACGGACCCCACGAGTCCGACATGGACCCGACACGGATTCCACGCGGATGGGGCCGCGACGGGACGGCCAAGATGTTCCCCGAGGATGCGACGTGATCTCTGCCTCGTGCCTGCGCTCCCCCGCCCCGGGCGGGCGTCGGGAGGCCGCGGCCGCGACCGCCGCGGCCGCCTTGGCGAGCCGGCACTGCAGCGGGGGCGCGTTCGCAGCCTCGGCCAGAGAGGTGGCGGCGGGCCGCGCCGTCCCGTGCCGGCTGCGAGGAGGGGGTGGGGGTCGGGCGGGGCCTGGGCCTCAGCAGAGGAAAAGGGGGGTACCCATCGGTCGCTGAGAGCAAATGTTTCTGGATTCCCAGATTCCAATCTGTGCTAGTCGCCTTCTTGCTTCAATGATCGAGTGGCTTCAACTTTTCCGTCCTATTTGGGGACGGGTGGAAACCCAATCTAGTTTCAACGCTTTCCTACTTCATCTTTCTACCCACTTCTTCGACCGACGGCTGCGGATACCGCTAATTACCCCTCCCTGGTTTTGCTTTTCCTTGGGCTCCTGGGAGGCCCTCGCCACCGCCGCTGGATCCCCCTCGAAGTTCTGGTCAGAACGCATCCCAGGAGAGGTTCTTGGAGTGGCGGTCTCGTCGGGCCGGACGAAAGGGGGGGATTGGGAAAGGGGGGGTTACGAAATTTGCTGCATGTAGCTGGTTTCGGCCTCACCGAGGGGCCCATTCCTCGATACATAGTCGCCTCCGGCGCCGGGAGGCGCCGGGAAAATCAGCTACGTGAGCTGATTCTCAAACCCCCCCTTTGCTATCCCCCCCTTTCGCCCGACCCGATCTCGGTACTTGTTTTGCCCAAGGGATAATTCGTTCCAGAGCGTTCCAGAACGCCGTTCCGGAACGCTCTCGGAGCGTTCCAGAGTGCTCTGAGAAGGCCGCGGCGCCCGACCGCTCTCCCAGAACCGCCGGATTCCAGAGATCCCCGCTGTATCTTTCTAGGCCTCCTAGATGGGGTCGGAGTGGATGGGGTCGGAGGATCGCCCCGCATCGCCGATGCATCGCCGATGCGGCTCGATGCGGAGCCCGATTTCTTTCACGCGGATGTCTCCGATGCATCGCCGACGTCGTTGATGCATCGCCGGTGCATCGCCGATGCATCGCCGATGCATCGGCGATGCATCACCGATGTATCGGCGATGCGGCGCGATCCTCCGACCCCATCTACTCCGACCCCATCTAGGAGGCCTCTAATCTTTGGCCGATGTTGTCCCTGTCTTGGCGTCGTCTTACGGGGTTTCTTACGGGTATTTTCTGCGAGCGCTGGCGAACCCTACCCTCGCGGAGTCAGTCAACGCGAGGGTGTCGGACAACCCAGCTGGGGTTCAATTTGGCTACACAGATCTTTCGCATTCTGACATTTCGCCTGTGTTTCAGGAGTCGCTGCGTTGCTCCTGCCTCCGCACGGCTCAGTGTTGTGCCTATTCCTAGGCAGCCGCCCTCCCGCCACCATTGCCACCGTGGTTTGCCACGGACGCCCACCGCGCTCTGGCCCTGCGCGCCTGGCTGCTGCTGCTGGCACCCCCGGCTGCTCATCGTCGAACTCTTTGTCGTTTGAGCGTCTTTTCTTTCTCTCGTCCGTCACCCCACTCTTTGCCCGCCGGCCAATTCGCTAGTTAGTGCCCTTTTTCCAGCTTCTCGCTGGAGCGGAGTTCGCCGCCTCGCCGCTGACGGAAACAAGCATGTTTCAGGATTCACCTAAATGGGTGGGATCCGCACGTGATTCACTTTAGGTGTGTCCGCATGTGTTTCTTGCTTCTGCCGCGACGCTTGCCTCTTACGTGTGCGGCCTCTGGCAAAACGTTTGCTGTTTTCTGATTCGTCCAGATGGCTTTGGATGGCCTTGGGCATGGCGGCAAGGCTGTGTCGGGGGGACAGCACCAACCTGAAACAGATCCGTGCCATTAAGAGTGGCGTCATCTCATCCAGCTGCCTCCTGCGATTCCGCCACCGTGCCAGTGCAGCATATTGGGTGGCGATTATTCGAGGGGGCACGGGAGGCCGTCATGCGTGACACCTCGGGCCTCCCGAAGGCCCTGTGGGATTGCTGGGTGCCTCGCGGGCGCCTCTTGGGTACATTTTGAGGGCCTCTTGGGAGCCTCTTTGTGACCTCCTGGGGTCTGTTGGCAGGGTCTTGGGGGCGCCTCGGAAGCTCTTGGGGGCTCTTCGGGCCGCTTGAGGGGGCGGTTTGGCGGTCTGGGCGCTTTCGCAGTCCGTCTTGAGGGGTTCTCTGGGTCGTCTTGGGCCATTCTTGGGGACCTCGATGGCCGTCTGAGGGCTTCCGTGGGCCGACTTGGCTTGGAAATATTGACGCTTCGGCTGAAATAATCCACGCTCACGGTGAGACTTGGCCTAGCTCTCGCGAGCACGGGCCCGCCTCGCCCGCCCGGGCATGTGAGCGGCTGGGCACGTCGGCTTAAGGCCCGCCCCCTTCGTTCCACAACCACAACAGGGCGTTCGTCGTGGTTGTTTCATTCAGCGACAGGTCGTGGCTCTCCCTGCATTCCCCCCCTGGATGTGGGGCACCCTATGGCATGGTTGCAACTTGTCTTCCACGGCGCACCGTGGCTTAGCCCGTGTGGCGTCGGCTGAAATAATCCACGCGCGCGGTGGGATTTGGCCTGGTTCTCGTGCATGGGCCGCCTCGCCCGCCCGGGTTTTCAAGCGCATGGGTACGTCGGCCTCAGGCCCGCCCCATGGTTCCACCTCTCCGTCCTTTCACGTCTCTGCTGCGGCACCCCCCATTGGCAGACGCTTACGACGGCTTCATCGCGGGCATCGTTTTCGAACACGGTCTTTGCCCGCCTGGGCTCATCTCTACGTGGTGCTGT